TTATACCGCTAGGCCACAGACCTGTTGGTCAAGCAATACATTCTTTTTTAAAGAAACTCTTAAATGATATTTTTAAAGTAACCATTATATTTTTCAAACTTGCAACACTTTTTTGCCAAATATGTTTTTATATTTTTACTTCCAAAAATCTTGCAACAAAAGGGCGTTACCAAACATGCTTCCGAATACTATTCAAAATACTCTACAGCAAATCACTTGTTTTGTTTCAGTTTAAAACAAAACGTGTACCAAACAAGCCATAATGTTGCGTTTAGGAACATTAAATCGGCGGCTTAAGTTTGAGATTGGAAGAAATTTACTTTAAAGTTTTAACTAAATTTTATTCAGTTCCAAATTCAGAGCACCAATGATCCGATTTGGTGATTCCAAACATAATAAGTTTTAATTCCGCTTAAACAAGGTATTAGAAGGAAAGATTGAAAATAAACTTAATCTTCACATTAATGCTATATATAGGTATTGATATTTTGTAAGACTCCAATGTAACTAGCATCCAACAAGGATTCTTGTCAATATTTGAATGCAAACACAGTATCTTCAGCTGAAAAGATTTATGCTTCATTTCCAAATTTTTGTTTTTCCTCAAAAGAAGACAATGGAGGGGATTTCACTTAATTTTGGCTCATTTGGGGTGAATTTTCTTGTCCATTTTAATGGTACTTGCAGCCTTTCCTGTTTGAATCCCTATAGCTTCTGACTTTCCTCACTGTTAATGTACTTGCAGCCAACAGTATTGGCATTGGGGCATAAGATTGTGTCTACTTTGTATTGAACAACACTGTTTACATCCCACAAGTCCATTAAAAATTTGACAGCTCATGTAGCCCACATGTCTTTTATAATAAATTTTTTTTTTTTAAAATTAAAAACAAAAATAGTTAACCCATTTTTACAAGGTACAATTATATCATGAAAGGGAGGGTATCTCCTTAAAGGAAGGAGATATTTTTCATCTCTTTTCAGGTACAGGTGCCACCACTTTTAGTGAATAGTTGTCAAAAATATATATATATATATATATATATATATATATATATATATATATATATCCCATGCTAGATGTTTATCCATCCAAGGTGAATAGACAGTTTTATCTAATATTTTAAATGTTTAGGTCAAATGACAAATATTCAATCTGTTATAAGTGGTTTTACGAGCCCAGTTTAGACTGTTATTTGAGTCATCATCCCGTCGTTAGGGCGGATGGGTAGACAGGGTAGTCTGATATCCAGCGAGACCAGGACACCCGGAGGTGCCCGGATCCGATTTGTTATTGGATCCTCCCGCCTTTAGGGTGAACAGATAGGCACATCGGATACCGACAGGGATGGTCTACGCTCATAAGGGCGGGTAAGCAGCTCCACTACAAAGAATGACTTTTTTTAATGTTTCTAAAGCAATTATCTATTTTGATTATTCTTGAAAACTTTTTTGCCCATGTCCCGGCTCCTTTGAGATGGGAAGGGTATACCATTGGACCAGAGACCCTTTAGTCAGGTCAGATGGCATATTCGATATACCGTGCATGCATAAAAGCAACCATCACGCGCAGAAAGTGGATCCACCAATTGATTTTTTTGAACTTTTTGTTTTGACTTCATAGCTCTGTTTCCTCCACTGGCATTTGGAGGAGTGAATAGACCTTCAATTATAGGAAGAGGAGTTTCACTCCACAAAACACCTTCAATTCTGGAGATGGATGCTATAATCATATTTAAGATTTGAAATGAATGAAAAAATGTTGACAAAGTAGAGAACAAAGATAAACTAGTGCTATATCTAGTAAGAAATGTCAAAAATCATGGACCCCCCACTAAGGATTATTACTCTAAGATCTACAAAATCTCTTTATTAAGTTATGATCATGTCTGGAATTAGTCCTAGGGTTGGGCAAAACCTTGATTATAGTGTTCTTTAGACTGTTAATTTTCTGAGATTCAACCATCTTTTTCTTGTCAACAAAAGACACTAAGCAATCAACCAACAAAAATGTGGGGTATGCAACAATGGCATCTAATGTCAACTATGGGCCAAGTTGTACTTAATTGATAAAGCTCTTTTGAGCTAAAGATAATAAGATCATGTAATGTTACTGGCTCTTAAAATCCTAGTATGCATGATAACTTCCTCCATCAAGAATACAGCTTTTCAAGAACTTCACAGTGAGTTGATGGAGAAAATTTCTATATTCTTCATCACTCATTGTGGGAAGAGTGAGAAAGCTGTCGGTGGTTGTTCGAGTTTTTGGATACGATGCCTGGGACTTTGGGACCAAAGATGCATCATCCAAGCAACAAATTTCATCAACAACCGTACCATGATAGCTTTGGTGGGAAGGTGTGATATCCCATCTTTGAATGGTAGAGATGAAGTGATTGAAATGCAATTTGTCTATAAAGATTATAAGTGGGGGATAATTATTTTCGATAAGGATTGATTTGTCAGCTATTTGGTGTAACTAAATGCACATGCATGGTTTCATGTAGGTGTGACAAGAAGAATTTTTCATCATAAGTATTGATTATTTAAATTTTCTGGTACAACAGATAAACATTTGGGGAGAGAGACAGAGAGCATATGAATGGAATAATGTGAACTATATTATTGTAGGGATGGGCTCAGGCTTTTCTAAGAAAAAGGTCGAAAATTTGAAGAGAATCAACCTAGGAATGGATGAAAATAATTTATCAAAAAGAGAATCGGTGATGCGTTTGACCAGGAAGGCAGTATTTTTGAATAGGTATGGAGTCTCGTCTGAGAAAAAGATAAATATTCGAAAAGAATCTATACATGTTTTTGACATGATCAACATTCAAAAAGAAAAAGCCAAAAATAAGAATGCTTACCCAATGATGAAACTTTAGACCTGGAATTGTCCAACTGCTTCATATGATGTCAATGCTCAGGATTTATATTTTTATTGGGCTAAAAAAAATCAAACCCAGAAATGCTAAACAAGAAAAGATCTATATTCAGACATCATTAGTGACAATTATAAGCAACTATAGTCAAGTTATTGCAATGTTATTCATAAAAATTAAACGTGTATGCGTGTATAGTTCCAAAATTTGTGTGATGTTCAATAAGAATAATCAGGCTCTCACTTGAGCAATCATCATTTATGTATATTTGCACACATCTTTATACATGTGAAAAATCTATAGATAATTACATAATAGATGCATGCATGGATGTTATATTTAAATATATATGCATGTAGAAGAAACTACCATGTTCCCATCAATAATGCATATGGCACCTGCTAAAGATACCATGTGCTATACATATTATCAACATGCAATTGTGTATCCAAAAATAGCTAGCATATGAAATGTCCATCTGATGCTACAACTTCAATCCTAAGCTAAAGTTGGAACACCTCTGGCCCCCTCCGGAGAGAGAGAGTTTCTAAGGTAAAGGAATGGTGATGTTTACCATGGTTATATAGGGAATCATTGGCAGTAGATAAACAAAAACGGAGAGAAGGAATGCTTGTTCTTGAATCAAACCAAGCTCATAAGTCATAAAAAGAAGAAAATAAGATCTGATATTGAAAGAAGGTTGGTTGTATTAACTTTTTTGGACAAGGTGTGTGCCACTATGGAAAACGTGGGGGTTTGGCCATGGGCTTTTAGATCCATTGGTGGAATCTGAAAACATGTGACAAAAGGTTTTGGCTTAGTCATAAAACTCCCAACTGGTATGTGACATGGAACTGAACAACGATAGCATCCCCTCCTTTCCAGTATATATATCGAAAACGTAACCTAACTATAATAATTTGTAAGAATTAGCTATCAGCATATATCTTAGTTAAATGATTGAGAAACTAGAAATTGTTAGTCCTTTCTATATGTGCAAACCTTTGATACACAAGTATAATGCTGTTCACAAAACAATCTGATTTTTTTTTTTTGATAAGTACAAAACAATCTGATTTTTTTTTTTTTGATAAGTAAAAAACAATCTGATTTTTATAAGGTTAAAATTCTATTTTTAACATATATTCCATTATTTCCAAACTTTAGGTTTAGTCAGAGTCACTGCCAAAGCTCCACCAATTATATCAAACATCCTCTTAACTACAGGGTGCATCAAATAACCTCACACCAATGAATTGCAAAAACATCGACATACCACAACAGCATAACTAAAGGAGAACAAAAGGCTGAAAGAGGAATATCATAGCAAGATAAGTATTCTCTAACTTTCCTTTATGTTTTGGACATGAGCTCTTGTAACCATAAAACTATAACCTTATAGAGAGTTTATACTTTAAAAATAAGATATCTAAAACTGAGTCAAGGCATTGCCATTGCGAGAGAGATTTGATCGTTTCTACAGTGGCAAAAGCCAATTGAAAGTCTGCATGTGAGATTCTAAGTAATCCCAACAACTCTGGAAACACCAGCCTTCCCATAACACAGTGTCAAGGAAAAGACCAAGAGTACAATATGAATAAAGTGATTAGTCGCCAATAATATCACATCATAAAGTAATAATAGCAGTATAGAGTCTGATAGTAGTAGTACTTGTAACAGTATTCTTGGCTACCGATTCTTTTCGCTAGATTTAGGTAATATAACATTTGAGCATGATTCTTTTGAAAAAGGAGTAGATATGTTCTCATGTATTTGGGAAAAGGACAAAATTTAGTTACAATACTAGGAGCACTTTGACCTCACAAAGTTAAATCACATTTCTTATGCTACTTTTACAGCACTCTACTCTCTTGTTTGTGAGCTTTTCAAAACAAAAACTGAAAAATCCAATACTTTCTCCTATAAATTCCTCATTCTTTGCTGACACTGGCAGCTCTCTCTCTCTCTCTGTCTCTCTCTCCCTCTCCCCCTCCCCCCTCTCTGTGTGTGTGTTTGTGTGATGTATTGTAAACAATAGGATATCCCTTACCTTTAGCCTCTCTGACTCTTAAAACAAAAGGACACAACAAAAAGAAGAACAAGCAAAAAGGAAAAAAGATGGCTGCAGAGCAGACACAAAAGCACCTGACATTGCCAGAGGTACAAACTAAAAAATCTTAGAATCTGCAAGATATTCTCACCAGAAATGTTTAATCTTACACTCATTTTTTTATCCATGATTTTGCTAGGTACTGGAGGAGTTGAAGAGAATAACTGACATAGCCTTCCCAATAGTGGCCATGGGCTTGGTGGGATATCTAAAAAACATGATTTTAGTTGTGTGCATGGGAAGGCTTGGGAGCATTGAGCTAGCTGGTGGGGCACTAGCCATTGGCTTCACCAACATCACTGGCTACTCAGTTCTATCAGGTCTAGCCATGGGGATGGAGCCGCTTTGTAGTCAGGCTTTCGGTTCTAGAAACTTTAGTATAGCATCACTCACTCTACAAAGGACAATTTTTATGTTATTGTTAACTTCATTACCAATTGGATTGTTATGGTTTAATCTTGAGCCTCTCATGCTTAGGCTCCATCAAAACCCAGATATAACACATGTTGCAAGTCTCTACTGCCGGTATGCTATCCCGGATCTTATTGCTAATAGCCTTCTTCATCCGCTACGTATCTACTTACGTAGTCAAGGGACAACATGGCCACTGATGTGGTGCACTTCACTTGCGATACTTCTCCACTTCCCCATAACCATCTTCTTAACCTTCACTCTTTGTCTTGGGGTCCCAGGGGTTGCAATTTCAACCTTTATCACCAACTTTAATACCTTGTTTTTCCTTTTAGGCTACACATTCTACTCTCGTACCTCTAAAGATCCTCTGTCTACACCACTAATTTCACAAGTGATTTCGCTTTCTTCGACTTCACTCGGCAAGGATTGGAGAATGCTACTTCGTCTTGCTGTACCAAGTTGTCTAGCTGTTTGTTTAGAATGGTGGTGGTACGAGTTCATGACACTTCTAGCTGGTTATCTTTACAATCCTCATATTGCCCTTGCAACATCGGCTATAGTAATTCAAACAACCTCTCTCATGTATACATTGCCTTCGGCACTTGGTGCATCAGTCTCAACAAGAGTAGGAAACGAGCTCGGAGCAGGTAGGCCAGGTAAGGCCCGTTTGGCAACAGTGGTAGCCATAGGGCTGGCTCTCCTAACCTCGATGTTTGGATTGTTATGGACCACCCTAGGGAGAGAAGCATGGGGGAGAGTCTTCACACAGGACAATGAGGTTCTAGAGCTAACAATAGCTGTACTACCCATAATTGGACTGTGCGAGCTTGCCAACTGTCCACAGACAACATGTTGTGGGGTTCTCCGAGGAAGTGCTAGACCCAGTGTTGGGGCAGCTATTAACTTCTACTCATTTTACTTGGTGGGTGCACCAGCGGCAATAGCTTTGGCCTTCGTTTGGAAACTAGGATTTGTGGGCCTTTGTTATGGGCTTTTAGCAGCTCAAGTGGCATGTGCAATCTCAATCTTAACAGTGATATACTACACAGACTGGGATACAGAGTCATTAAAGGCCAAATACTTGGTGGCAGCTAGTAGTGCGTTTGCACATGCAGATCAAACAGTGAAATGTGAGGAAGGAGTTGGATTTCTCAAGGTATCTGCTTTCGAAAAGTGAATGGAGTTCATGGAAGTAAACATGTAAAAATAATATAGCACTAACACGATAAGGTCACATAGTACACCTAATTTTCATTGTTTCATGTCAAACTATATTAATGTGTATGTACAACTTTTATTTTTCTATTTCCTGTTCCTGCTAATCTACAAAAATCTCGATCTATTTACTGTTGAGTTGTGAAGATGCATCTATAGGTGACAAGTTCGGTCCCCCTCTTTTTTTTATTTTCTTTTATTTATTTATTTATTTATGGTGGGAAACTATAGGTGACAATAGTTAGATTCACCTACACTGTTGACTGTGGATAAGTAGAAGCCTTATTCTTCTTTTTTCTTATTTTTTAAAGCTAGTATTTAACCTCAGCCTGGTCCTCAGCTTATGTCACAGGCCATCAGAACAGCCTGTTTGTAGGAACTTTTTCTTTTCTTTTATTTTGTGTGTGTATGTAAAAATTATAGAACTGAGAATTAACGACGCACAGGCATGCACATAACCTGGCCGCAAGGGCAGAAATTATCTAAAGCTTCCAATTTTGAATACAAAAAAAAAAAAATAAAAAATAAAAATAAAAATAAAAAAAAAATAAAAAATTTAAAAAATTGACAACAAAATCATTCTAACACTCAGAGAGAATTTGAATTGAAATTAAAAGGATGTTTATTAAAAAGGAAGATTTGAAGAATTTTTTTGTTAAACTTCCTTTAGATTCTTTAGGATACAAATATCCTAAGAAATCAAAAGAGAAAATTCTTACTCTTTAAAAAGAAAAAGGAGATTAATCTTAGGATGGATTAATACGAAAATTGATAAGGACATAAGACTTGAAACTAGTTTAGTTTAGTTTCTTTATTTTTATTTGATTTCAACTCATGTCTTATTTCAAAAGAGATTATCATTGAACAATCACATTGCTTTTGAAATTAACACATGGAACACATAATGGAAGTGATTAAGCATGGTAAGAGATCATGTCTCACTTTGGACATTCACGTGGAAAAAGAAAATTGTTTTGGACAGTTATGATCATGGAAAGGCAACCTGTGAAATTAGTCTGAAGCAATCTAAACATGTGGCAAAAAAAAAAGAAAAAAGAAGAAGAGAGAGAGACAGAGAAGAGTCCTACACAACATAGTTGAAATGAGAAGGTTTGGATGGATGATCGAAATGATTAGGAGAGATATTACTTACCAAAAAAGAAATTATTAGGAGAGATATGTTAAATAATCAAAGTGTCAGGGAGATACCAGGAGCAGAATCAATTGGTGATAAAATAACAGAAAGCCGACTTAGGTGATATCAACACATACAATGTAGAGCCATAGATGCACTAGTGAGAAAAGGAAGATTAGTTTGCATAGAAAGTAAGAGATAAAGAGACACTAGCTTGAGATGAAGTAATTAAATCCTATGTTACATGGACTCGGGTAAGTGTGTTGGGTACGGGTATGTATCCATGTATCGGATGTATCTAGGGATGGCAAATTCCCCATCCCCGCCCCGCCCCGTTTATAGCGGGGATGGGGATCCTTTTAGTTAAACAGGGATGGGGATGGGGATGGGGGTAAATAATGAAAACTTGGCGTTGGCGAGGGCGGGGGCGGGGGCGGGGATGGGGTAAACCTGCCCCGCCCCGATTAAGTATGAAATTACTAATATACCCTTACATATAATAAATTATTACTAAAATAGATTTAGTATATATATGAACATTTTGTCTAACCCTAACCCTAGCCACTTCGTTTGAATCATTTCATTCTCTCTAGTCTTAGAGAGAGAAACTGAGCAAGCGACCACAGCGGCACAGCCTCAGGCCGCCACAACGGCACAGCCTCAAGCCGCCACAGCCTAACACCCACTCTGTTAATTTGTCATCCTCCCTCAAACACCGACGTCATCAGATCATCACTCAAGTCACCGACTCATCGGCGTCCAGTAAGTTACTTCGGTTGCTCTGTTAAGTGTTGGATCTCTTTGTTTCTCGGATTTACTGGGTCTTACGTGCTTCTGCTATTGCTAATCTATATTTAACTGTTTATCTCCTACTTCCTCTTTAAGCCATAAGCTTTCTTTTGTTGCATTTAGTATCAGTTTATGCTTCCAGAATCTAAAGAAAAATGAAATTTTGTGTCAAATGTTAACTTGGATGAATTGGATCAGTTTGAGTGCCTGCCATCTTAAGCTTATTTAAAATGTATTAGGCGGAAACTAATTAAAGTAAAGGTTATTGCTTGGTTTAGTTTTTTGGAACAACTTTCAAATAGAACTATAAAAAGTGTTCTTCAAAATTTGTTCTTTTTCTAACTTAATTTTTTAGAAACATTAAATTTTGTGCTATACCAACGGGGCCGGAGGCGGGGCGGGGACCGGGATAAGGTGTCGGGGCCGGGGGTGGGGGCGGGTATGGGGATTCTGGCAAAATTTTAAGCGGGGATAGGGGCGGGGATGGGGAATGAAAAATTCATCGGGGATGGGGATGGGGATGGAGAATGGAATCCCAGCCCCACCCCGCCCCGTTGCCATCCCTAGATGTGTCAAATTGCTAAAAAGAAGGACACACGGATACTGCTAAATATTCATTTTAATTAATTAGTATATTTATTTTCTAGAGTAAAGTAATGTTTTTATCTAATATAGTGTTCAATCTAGGCTTGAAACTCATTTAAAGTAATAAAACAATATAATTGAAAGATGGATATGTTTTTTTAAGTACACGTCCAACCAAAAGTGTCGGACACATATCCCAAACCCATGTCCGAGCAATATGTGTCCGACACGGGTACTTCACTACGTTTAAAGAGTCCATGTAACATAGATTAAATACAAGATGAGACATGACTTATAATAGAATACAATGAAAAAAGAGATGTCATGTGGCCAACTCCATTCATTTGGGATAAAGGAAAGATTGATGATGATTATGACTATATTCCTGCCAAATAATAATAATGTCATTCCAGTCACAAGATTAAAATTATAGTTTCAACTTTTGAGATCCTAAAATCTCAAAAAGCTTCGATGTTAGATTCTTCTAATATTCTCCAAACAAAACTGGTCAAATTTCACATAAATTAACAATTACTGTTATGCATTATTGGGAATTGATATCACCTCCATGAGGTTTGTGGTTTCCCAATCAGCAACTCAACTTATGAGTGGTTTTTAGTTGGGACAACTTTTTGTCAGAGAGAATAAAGAGAAAATACTTTATTATAGAGATTTTGATGTAGAGCAATGTCTACACTTCCACTTGGAATGTGACTGACAAAAAATCTGCACACCGGAGCACACGGACAGGGACACACTCCAGGACAAAGAATCACAGATTCGTTGATTTGACATACTCAACAATTTCAAGTCCACTACACATCATTCTACACCATTATGCTCTAGGCAGGACCATATTTGCTTCTATAAAATTTTACGTCTTCTTCATAGGCTCTATTCAAGCTATTTTTACCCTCACTTGACCTATGTCTCATTAGCCCAGAGCCTAGTATTTGTCATGGGTGGCATCTCAACACATGCTCTCATTTTGTTATATATTGGTGCCGCCTCTTATTTGTCACAAGCGCATGCAAGCATAAAACAATGCTCCCAAGTCTCATGTGTCATCACCCATCTATCTCAAGTTTCAACACTCCCCCTTCTAGTCATAGTCATGATACCTGCATGTTTCTTCTGAACACCCAGTCTTACAAAGTGAATACTTAGATCATTATACTTATATTGTCAACAAAACACTGAAAGAACTTATGTATCCTAAATTGAAGTCCTAAATCCAAATTATACAGAGCCTTTTTTATATTAAACCATTCATCCAAATGTCCAACTTTGTCATTAATTCTTCTTAGGTCTTGTCTATTGTCTAATGAGACCATGTCACAGTAAATAACATACACTATGGAGTCCACATAAATTATGCCAAACAGTTCACTTACACCAACACAAGAAGTTAAACTACATGTTATCCCAGCACGTCATTTTGCTCCCACCTGAAACTTGTCTCATCTATTGTTCTAACTCTACCAACTTTGTCATACATATCCTTAATCACATCAACAAATTAATTAGAAAATAATTTCTTCTTTTAGTGCACAAAATTATCAATGAAAGTCCTATTCATATGTTTTTCTCTTCGATCACCAGCTACTGAGGAGCAACGAAGCCTGGATCGGAAGAATGCACAGACAAGAGTTAAACAAGCCAAAATCAAGCCTAGATCTTTGACACATTTTCCTAATAATACATCTGGACTACACATACTGAACTCAAGTAGAAAAAAAAAAAAAAAACAGAGGTTCACTTATGCATTTAGCCACTTTAATGTAGCCTGAGCTTATCAGTTTATTAATTAACATCATTCTGCAACCAAATAATGCCAAGCGCAAAGCCCAATTGCATTGCAAGTTATAAACCACCAACATTAAGCTCAATTCAGATAGGCCCATGAGTAGTTGAGGTTTAACTTTTTTGAGCATGTTGTAATTGTTAATTGGCCTTTTCCAAAAGGGAAGATTCTTGGATCCTCACACTAATATGATTGCATAATTAAGTTAATGGACAAGCCCAAGTCTGGCCAAAGATACGGGACTAAAGCTTGAAAAGAGCTAAATGAGCTCAATATCAAGCTTCATCTTGGATCAGCTTACGCCAGTCCCCAAGTTTTTATAGCTTAAGACAGCTTATTTTCACCCTTAGCTAGCTTATGAATGTATGTATGTAACAAATGCAAATTAAATTCACACAATGAATTTTGTCAATCCTTGTCATGAAATGCCATTGCAAACAGTTGCCAAAGTAAATAACATTTCAAAGAAATTCTATTACTTCAGTGTTTCTACTAACAATGTACTGTGAAACATGTTCCACGTATTAAATATCCGGAGAGTGCGAGACAAAAGAAAACGTATAAAAGGGTATGTCAAAATAAGTCTGATGGTACCTTCAAAACACCATCATTCAAATCATGAATTTTGTCCACTGTAATTCCTTATTGACATCTGTTCTGCATAAAGAAACATAATATCAATTTTTTTTTTTCTTTTCTAGAAAATAGAAGGAGACAGAAACATTTCATATGTAGAAGTAAACAAAGAACCTATTCAGGTTCATAGAGCTTATGTTAAAGCAAAAGATAGCAACGTCGTCCATCATCAACAGACAACAACCATATAACAGATCATTCAACTTCTAACACTGTAGAACCACCAAAGCCTTGGTTGAGTGGTACGTCCTTCAACATCCCAAAGGAAAGGTTGAGGGTTCAAGTTGTTTGTGTGAGTATATTTACCTATTGAATTGAAAAAAAAAAAAAGGAAAGAAAAAAATTCTAACACGGTGATGACAATCATGTCAACCAATAACATGGAGGCGGTATGCTATAATTGCAACCCAAAAGGCACTGGCTTAGACAATTCAATGTCAAACCCTCAAACTTTGTATTCAAGAAGTTACTGTTTATACCAATTGTGGCTTGGCAATGGCGAAGGTGGGAATTTAATATTGTGTGTGTGTGTGTTTTGGGATTAAGATTTAAGGATTCTCCTGCATATGGTAAGAAACTTCGAGATTGTGCACAAATTACGCACTAGACTTTGTTCACCCAAAACAACTTTTTAGGAGCAAATTATGTAAATTGGTGGCACATTTTGTTTGTGCATGGTCTACGTTATTATTCTGTGTGGCTCATTGTTCCGAGTTCATAGTTAATTGAAGTTTTTTTCACTTCTTTATCAACTGCCACATCCAAACTAGGACACAGCAAATTTTACAAGCTCACATTGTGAAAAATTGGAAATACTTATCATTCTTTTGTGCAATTTTGGTTCTCAGAAGCAAAATAAAAAGTATATCTAAAATTATATCCAATTGCCAATAAAACACAAGAATTACACCAAATCTAAATCTGAATCAACTATAACAAAAACAAAAAAAAATTATGGACTACACACAGTATATAATGCAATTCAGCATGCCAAAATGCTTCTCTTAAACCCTAAAACCAAGGTTCTAAGTAATTTCAAATCATATACACTAGTCCAGAAATTAAGGCATACATGTATAAGAACTAGGCACAGGTACAGTCATACACATTCCATATATGTGTTTGTATGTGTGTGTATATATATTTGCAGAGAGAGAGAGAGAGAGGAGCTAACATTTGCAGAGAGAGACAGAGATTCCCGCGTTTCAGAACAATGTGAGTTAAACGGCCTCCAACAGGCGAAGCCTTTCAGGTTTCCCCCAAAACACTGGTGGGTCAACTTTGCCCGGCCTTTTGCATCATGGTTGCTAATAAGGGTGCATAACAGGCCGGGTTGGATGAACCGACCCGTGACTCTGGGAACCCAAACCGGCCCATGCAAGACCCCACGGGCTTTGACTTGTCAACGTTGCGGGCAGGAAAGAGCCTAAATGCATTTTAAGAAGCCCAAGCCCGGCCCTTGGGCTTGGGATGGCGGGCTACGGGTTTTTTCTTCTTTTTATTTTTATTTTTATTTTTGTGTTGTTTTAGTTTTTGTTTTCTTTAAACTATCCATTGCATGAGTTTGAAACTTAACAAAGTAAATAATAAGTGTTGTTTGATCAAACTAAAATTAAGTCTCATTATTTTAAGAATTGAATTAAGTGCTGAAGTTTTTAAATGGGTAATTAAAAAATAAATAATTTTTTATATATTTTTTATTTTTTAGAGTTTAGTATTAAGTGATAAGCTTAAAATTTTACCTCATTTTTAGTGACACTTATTATTTTTAGTGATATTCAAATTGCATTATCAAACGTAATTAATTGGAAGAAGTGTTTAATCTGTTCAGAATTAAGCACTGAATTGAGTTTTCAAACAACACCTAGTTTCAAACAAGTTACTAAAAACTTAGCTAAGTTTGAATTTAAACATGAAAAATAAAAAAATAAAAGACAAAGAAAAATAAGAGTAGCTAAGTTTGAAATTTAAACATAAAAATGAAAAAAGAAAATAAAAAGAAAATAAGTAACTTAAACAAGTTATTGGAAACTTAATAGTAGCTATGTTTGGAATTTAAACATATAAAAGAAAAAAAAAATAAAAAGAAAAATAAGTAAATTTATGTTATCACAAGTAAAAAATAACATGATATCTATCGGTGGATTACCTTGATGCCACACAATGATATGGGTTATATCAATTTAGCACATGAGTGAGTATAACTGAAGAGGTCTCAACTGAGACTGTACCCAATCACAATCAAGAATGCAATGGATAGGACCTTTAGATATGACCTAGAGGGGGAGTGAATAAGTTGTTTCCCACTTTTTCCTTTATGTAATAACTTTGATATAAATTCACTCAATTCTTTCAATCTCTTTTGAATACGGAAGATAATATATCTCAGATATATTAATTCAAATATTGATTGGTGAATTTATTATGCTTTGTATTCAATTAATTAACTAAGCATATGTCCCTTAAACAAATAAATCAGAATTTATACAAATAAACTAAACTGATCTTGTAATGACCCAAATCCGGGGGATCTAGATCACTAACTGGGCCCTAACCCAACCCGATGATACCAAGGGCAGAATGGTCACTACACGCCTTACAATGCATTAGGAGTTGTAATGAAGTCATACTAGTCGTTTCTAACTACTCCGGTTCATGAATGGGTGAAGATGTTGGAAAGGAGAATATTCGGTTGAGATTTATTGCTAATCTCTAGGAATTGCTTAGCTATATTTTATGTTTAAATACAAGCCTAGTAAACTCTGTAAATAAGAAAAATTAGTTGTATAGTTATTATGTTCCTTTTTTAATGCCTTGTATAGCCTATAAGTAGTGTACGTGTATATCATTCTCAGTATCAATGAAGTACCATTTCACTAAAACAATTTTCTCCTAATTCTTTGTTGTTTGATGGTATCAGAGCATTCATCTCTTCCAAAACTGCCAATTTCCAATTCGAATTATCTAATGCTTCCTGAATGGTTCTCGGGATAAACAGGTGAGAGATTTTTTAGGTAAAAGCTTTATGAGACTTAGAAAGCCTATGGTAAGACACATATTTAGCAACAGGATGTTCTGTACAGCTTCGGACTCCCTTTCAAAGTGTTATAGGTACATCAAGATCAAAAGCAGTAGGAGTGGAATTTGACAAAGAAGGATTAGAGTTACCTGGAGTAGTAGATGGACCATCGCTTGGAGACAGTGGTTGATCTTGTGCTAGAGTTGTAGGCAAGTCTTTATTTTTTTAATGAGTACTCCTTCTAGTGTAAACACAGAGCACTGAGTTTTAATTATTAGAGGTGGAAGGATCAAGAACAGGTACGGGAAAGAAGGTATTAGGCAGAGGAACAACTAAGGTATTAGGAAGAGGAACAATTGTTTCTCAAAACTAAGCTTTATTATTCACTATCTCCCCTTAAAGACAGTTTTGTCTAAAGTAAGGCTCACTTTCCACAAATGATATATTCATACTCACAAAAATGTTTTTCATTTTAGGATTATAACACTTGTATCCCCTTTTATTTGGCACATAATTGATAAACACACATTTTTCTGCCCTAGGATCAAGTTTGGATCGAAGCCTAATATGTATGTGAACAAACACAGTGCACCCAAAAATTTTCAAGGGTAAGTCAGAGAAAAGTCGACATTCAGGAAAGAAGTTTTTGAAACACTCTAAACGTGTAATATATTTTAAAATACGAATAGACATTTTATTTATTAAATAAGATGCTATCAAAATAGCATATCCCTATAGATATTTTGGTGCATGCATTGAGAACATAATGGCACGTGCAACTGCAAGTAAATGTCTGTTTTTTCTCTCGGCAATACCATTTTGTTTAGGAGTATTATCACGACAAATAGATTGATGTTGAATCCTCCTCCCTTTAAAAAATTTCCCAAAATTTGATTGAAATATTCAGTTCCTGGTGTTTGTCAAATACCAGTTGCAATAAAAGTGTGTAGTGTGGCCAAGTTTGAATTTATAGAATGCCACTACCACTACTAACTAATAAAGTAGCTAGAGTGAGTAGGGATCGTCCCAAGGGAAATGAGTCGTGCTTTGGAATCAATTGTTGGATTAGTAGGTCGAACGATCAAAAGAGGGGTTTGATTTAATTAAACTAAGTCCAATTAAAAACAATGCAATTATCAATCTAGAAATTAGAGGAAAAATAAATGAGAGAGATGACTTGGGGCTTAGAGTTCACCACTAAGCTTTACTTCACCAAACACTAGCAATTGTAAATTAATGGGGACATTTAAGTTGCAAAATATGTGTATGTGTGTCTCTAATGGAAAACTAAGCATGGAAGACAAATAAATATAGATTGTCTAGTTAATCTAGTGAATAGCACAACCTATCAAATGAGACCATAACCCATTCAATTAAACCACAATTAGAACATACATAATAATCTAGAGAAATGTACTATTTGCATTCATAAGTATGGAACATCAAGAAATAAGAATGGATTGTCCACATATCTAAGAAATTAAAGCAATTACACTACATCTAGGCTAGAGACATGCAAATTAAACTAATTAAACTAAAGGTGTCGTATAATCCATCAAGAAACAAATATGAACCATCAAATAAATCACAAGAGTATTCAATTAAGCACTATGTTTTGACCATCACTAGATTAACAACATCAATATACATAGACATGCATCAATTTCATTAAATCTAGAGAAAAGCACATGAATATCCATTCTAGAATACATAGACATATGGATAGGAATAAATAATCAATTGAAAGTATTAATTCATACAAATCAAGTAGAAATCACAAGATCTATATTTATTTATGATCAAAACATCCATTACTACTGAAACCCCCAAAAATATACAAAAGCTAGGTTCAGGAAGCAAACATAGGGGCTATCTCATTTAGCCATTCATTGTAGTGGTTATGGAACCCTCAAGGGCTAACTTAGAGGTTGGCATCATCATCTTTATCCTTGCTTTCTTCTCAAAATCCTAGTTTTAGAGAGGAAAAATATCTACTCTATGAATATTACAAGATAAAATTGAAAGATGTTCAATTAATTCATTACATTGCCCTTTTTAGTAGGCACCAAGTCAGAAATACAGCCTATGATTAGGGAAAATTCGCAGCTACTCAAGTTAGGTAGAAATCGGCGTGCTCGGGAATTAGACACTCACTGCTAGCACGTACTTCAATCGATCAAAGATGTTCGATCGATCAAACACTTAACTTCGATCGATCGATGTTGACGTGGCATCAAAAATATATTCTGGGCCTTATCCACTTTGCTGAGCTGGCACCGCCTTATTTCGATCGATTGTAGAACTCTTCGATTAATCGGAATTCCCTTCGATCAATCGAAGCTCCTCTGATGCATTTTCTTGGCTTTTTTCTAACTTTGCTCCTTAGCTCCAAAATTGGGCTAAATGACTCTTGTTAGCCTGTTTGAACTTTATTAACTTAAAATAGGCAATAACATAAATAAGTATCTAAGACATGAAAGTAAGATAGATAAATGGACTAAAATACCCTAGTTTATGTACTAAAATGTGTCACATTTAAGCACTCATCACACCCCTAACTTAGATATTGTTAGTCCCTAGCAATGAACTATAAGGAAAGGAAAGAGATAAACAACTAAGTAACTATGAACTAGAAAGCAATCAAAAGATAACGCCACTTTCGTAGGGAGCACGATTGCATTTAGCATATGCAACAATCTTTTTAAACCCCTAGGTTAACCCTAGTGGACGAGTGAAGTCTTGTGAGAGTTTCCAGAAATGATACCCACAAACATTGAGCTCTTTCTCACTAAAGAGGCCCCAATATACAAAACAAGCATTGGGAGAAAGCTACCTCAAGTATGCAATTTTTCAACTATTTCCAAGCAATCTCCCAAAATCTCAACATCAAGCAAGCAAGTATGATCCTCCACACATCAAGACAATGATCATGCAAATAAAAACAACTCTAGAATCCTTTTTAAGTGAACTGGCATTAAATATGTTGCTATCTAAGCCAACTAAAGAAATAATCACATCCTTATCCTCAAACTAGCACACAAATCTAGTACCGATCATCAAGACAAAGAATGGACCTTTTGTTAAAGCTTTATTCATTTAAGTGCGCTTATTCTTTCACTTGATTTTTTTTTACTAACCTAAAGGATCAAAGATGGAAGCATGGTGCAGTGTAGTGATCTATTAAGCTTTCTATTGATTCATGAGGTTAAGCATTAGGTCAATGACTCCCAAACCAGACGGCTTTAGGGCATTAGGCGTTTAAACACCCTTAAGGACTTACAAACTCAAATTGATTAGGTTACAAATCAAAACTAC